AGGTGGTGAAGAAGTAAGCGTAGAAGAAGAGTGAACAGAGGAAAACTGTTAACACAAATTTTGAAGATTTGAAGATGCTGTAAATGTTTGAAGGAGAGGGAATTGGAGTATTTTATAAGTAAGTTGGAGGAGTTGAAAGGGCAACCAATAGCGGTTCGTGGGCTTTTCGAGAACTGTGATGACAAGACCTCTGTACAACTTTTTCTGCCACGCCATTAAATATTCTCACGTGGCTGACGTCATGATGGGGATATCGCACATGTAAAGAGCTCAAGATCGTTTCTTATTATTTCATTCTAAGAAACGCGGGGACTATCTGTATGCGGCCAAAGTCGGAGAATCCGGCTTTGAGGCTATTGTGCCACTTCACGCCCGGCATTGAGGGGCTCGAAGTGGGACTTGAGGGCGGACCCCGAATGGCTCCTCTCGAGGAACATGTCGAAGGTCGATCTCGGAGCGGCACGGGTCGGTGGTCGTCAAGGAAAGGTGGGAAACCCCTAAAAGCACACGATGATGACTGACAGAGTCTGCAAGAAATAATACACATCCGCACTGAGCCGTTATACAGCTGTACTAGTAGCATTAATTCTTTGTTTATTAGACATGTACTGTGTTGGGATTCACCCCTCTTATATAAAGGGGACCTTTGTCATTTTGTAGAGACATCCGCATTATTACACAACACATTGAATACAATTCTAGATTCTCTCCTCTCTTTGCTAACATTATTGTTCTTCATATTTATTGTTTATTCTTTCATTGTTCATTCATTGTTCTTCATTTATTGCTCATCATTAACCACACAAGGCCATCTTTAAGGCCCTCATTATATCGACCTAGAGGCACTGCTCCAGCTAGCTCGAGGCCCGGCCTTGTGATCCTGTTGGTTTGCATTTCTTATTTTCTTTAACTCGCATTTAGCATCTATTGCCTAACAACTAGTATTAAGATAAATCACATATTTTTAGAATCGCAAAATCAAATATAATTGTAGTTACCATTTTCAAGGTAAACATCCATCTACCTTCAAAAGCTAATCCTTGGACATTTGAAAAGTTAATTATGCTTGAATTTTGATTAGCCAGTAAACCAGAGAGAAAAAGGTCATAATTTTGTCGAATTCCAGAACAGTTCTGCATGAGGCCCTCTACTTTTTAGGGAGAAAGCGATAAGCAATTTCAACCAGAAAACTTCACATTATGATACACAAATATGTACATAAAAGAAGTGTGTTGAAGTCGATACCCTAACTTTTTGAAGCAACTTAATTGATAATAATACACGAGTTGCATTTGCTTTAGAGAAATTTTCATAAAGCACTATCTTTTAGTAGTAATTAGTCATCTATAGATACCATTTGCTATATTACGGATTATAGATACCTTGATGTATTTAATCTATTGTATTCATGAATACAGTAGCAAAAATAGGCGTGAATCAGGGAAGTCCAGCTAATCACTTGTTGTATTCGAGTGTATTCATGGAGTGAAACGTGGGATTACAGCTTGACAGATTATTGTATTCGACTGTATTCGACTGTATTCACGGCGTGAAATAGGGGATTACACTATTTTAAAACGGAAAGTGAATCAATTAACATAATAGACTCCTAATATAACTCAACAAACTCAATTATAACACACAAATTTTGTATTTTCAGTTATAAAAAAGATTCTCAACCGAAAAATACACCAAAAAATATAGCAATCTTCAGAGAAATTATATAATACATCTGAATACATAAATTATATTAATTAAAAAAAACATATGAATACATTCATGGCATATAGCGAGACAGTGAATACAATGAAATACATAAAATACAACGGGATACATTGAAATACAATGAAAAAAAAAGACAGTGAATACAATGAAATACATGGAATACAACCCAATACATTGAATTACAATGAAAAAAAGACAATGAATACAATGAAATACATGAAAATACATTGAAATATATTAACAGAAAATCAAGCTGCTCAGCCCCAAATTCCGTCGTCTTTGTTCAAGAACAAACCCTAATTTCAATGCAGTGCGTTAGAGCATCTTCCACCTCCATTGTAGTTAAATCTTGCATACTCAATCGTTCTGGATCGTTGCAAGAATAAAGGGCATTCCTCAGCATGTTTGAAGACTCGCCTTACATTATTCACTGTTTCAGAGTTAATATTACCCAAGAAGATGGCGTCATCCTTTACAACTTACTTCTCGAATATGCATCTGGAGGAAGCTTAGCCGATCGTCTTCAGAACTACAATTCAGGGGAAGGGCTGTTAGAGTCTGAAGGTAGAAAACACACTAGGATTGTTGTTTTAGGGCTCATTCAAATTCACAGCAGAGGAGTTATTCACTACTACAATGGAGGATATCGACGTAGGAGAAAATCGCAAGCGAACTAGACAGAGAAGAGGAAGAGAATCGGAAATTTTAATGGGATGGGGGAAGAGAATGGGATGTATCAAAGTAGAGAGAGAAAGAAAATATTGTAACTGATTAGCGTATTTAGTGGCTTAGGGCTAGGAGGTTACCAAAATTAAATATTTTGCTATAAACCTTAAAAGGTTCTATAGAATATAATTTTTTTAAATGGTATTTATTTAAAATAAATAAGGTGTTAACCTTTTACTATATGAGGTAAAAATTCCTTTGCTTTATCACTCTGAACTCCACTTCTTTGCGCAACTATATATTTGATCTGTATATATTCATAAGTTACCACAACTATGGGCCCAATAGTTTGCTCTTGTATGCTAGATTAGTAACAATGTTTTGTTTCTTGCTATTCCAATATGTCTAATTACCTCGGCCCAAAAAGCAGAACTCGAAAGTAGAACGTCTATTATTTTGAAGGTAATAAAGCCTACTCAATTTGTATAACCACCACTTGTCGTAAGCTCTGTCGTCATGGATTTGCATTTAGGCCAACTGCATGCTCAGGCCATACGGGAGCCCAGTATCCGTCCCATGACATCACCACGCCCATAAGACTGGCGGGCAGTGTGTGGGGGCGACACGATGCGTGACGCCCAGGCAGACGTGCGCTCGACCTAATGGCTTCGGGCGCAACTTGTGTTCAAAGACTATATATATTATTTGTCAATTCACACCAAGTATCGTATTTTGCTACGTTCTTCATCGATGCGAGAATCGAGATATCCGTTGCCGAGAATTGTTTGTGTTTTAAAAGAAGCACAAGTCCTCCCACGCGCATCATGAACAAAGCGCGAGAGGCAGGCTTTCAATTTAGTATAGTGTCGTTCATATTTGAGCTCCTTTTCCTTGGAGTATATTGTAAATATCCAATGATACTACTATTTATTTAATTGAGTATCATGCAAGAGAGTTCATAAAGTGACTTGCAATAGTCACCAAAAACGCAATATCAAATCGAGTTACTATGAGAGATAATTCAATTTACCAGTCAGAGAAGTTTGAAGAAAGAAAAGAGGACGAAGAGAAGTCAGCGAGAGTAGAAGACGCGAAACGAAGAAAGCAATAAAGTACTCACCCTGAAAGCCATTCCGGCTACGCCCCGTGACAGGCCAGCATCGCCGATCTCCTGAAGGCCCCTGTTTTCGGTAGCGGAAAAAAGAACGGCATATTGGGGCACCAGGCTTACTGTGTCCTCCAACAAATCTAAGTCTGGGGAAATCTCGATCACGCGGGAGGAACTGTCGGTTTCTGCTTCCACCCGAGTGAACCCCTCTTCATACATTCTTATGTCCTCGGGGTCAATATCCGAACCGGACTCGTAGTCATCTACAACCATGCCCTTTGCCCTCTCGCCGGCTGAAGAAGAGACACGGGCCCGTTGTGAAGTCGACGGACCACTCGAAATGATTGCAGCGACCTCCAAGTTCTGGCCCCCTTTCAAAGAAGCCAACTCCACGATCGGAGGAGGCACGGTCTCAACGCCCAAACCAGTACCCCCGTCCAGTTCGGACACCGCCGACACGAGTTCACCTCTCGAAGGTCCCTCGGTCTCAGCCATTACCCTCCATCTCTTCAAAGGGGCCTCATCGTCTTCGTCCTCCGTTGACTCATCCACCAAATGAACAGCGGGAGCCAGGACCCCAACCAAGGGAGAGGAAGCCAGGCGGCTAAGCCCACGCGAAGTCGAAATCTGCAAGACATCGACGGTCTGAGCGGTTTCACTTGTAGCCACAGCAAGAACGGGCTCGGCCGCGATACCCAACTGGCGGAAAGCGGGCGTAGGAGCCCTCGCCGTCCTTGCCGCGCTCCGACCTGTAAACAAAGAAGAGAGGTAAGAGGATAGAAATAACAGTATAAGAGCCAGCAATCGAAGCCGAAGGTTACTCACCGGCCACAAGTCTACGTTAGAACCTCTCATAAAAACGCGACCAATCGCGAATCCCCATAGTATGGGGTAAAACCCGACTCACCCAGTTGCGAATATCTACAACCGGTGAAGGAGGATCCTGTTGGGCTGCAAATAAAGAAAAAGAACGATCAGATTACCCCCAAAGAAAACAACGGTCGTTTTTGAATGGAAACACTTACGAGCAAAATTCTACTCCTCGGGGAATCCGCTAGGGTTCGATACCACGTGCGCCGTCTTCATGAAGAAGAAATTTTCCCAAAAGCGACGATTTGTTTTGTCATCCATCTTCACTACCGACCCCTTGGTCCCCTGATGGCGCATATGAATCATTGTGCCCCTGTAAAAACTTGGGGCAAAGAGGTGAAGTACATGGCGTAGAGAAATACCACGGCTGGACGACTTCGCGTATTTGATAAGCATGAGGAAAAGCTTGTATATATACCGAGAAAGCTGAGCTGGGCACACATGGTAAAAGCGGCAGAAATCCTCTGCCAAGAAGGGAAGAGGAAGGGTGTAGCCGATGACAACGGGTACGCGTAAAATGCGCAATACCCCAGGCAGTGTGTTTGGACTACATCAATACCAGCGGGAACTATTTCAACATGGGCCGAGATTCGCCACTTAGTTCTAAACGCAGTGATCACCGCCGCATCCATCATAGAGATGACAGGTTCAGGTTCATCCTCAGGCAAGCTTTTGAAGTCTGATCTAGCTTTTTCGGGCGTGGGATTTTCTCGTCCACGGTGGGAAAGTTTTCATCTTCCACCATGGCCACCCCTTCCTCATGGTGAGGTGCATCCGCAACCAACATCACATGGTTAGAGGGAGCGTTGGCTAGTTTTCTGATTATGCGAAGAAGAAGTACAAAGATGAAGGAGGTAACGGTAGCAAAGGACGCTAAGGAGAGGAAGAAAACAGAGAAGCTGAAAGTTCGAAGAAGAAAAGAACTCGGGCTTCAGGGGCTCTAAAAACACGACAATTCAAAACTGGAGTGCCTATCCCTATTTATAAGAGCACAGGCATCCCAATCAAGAAAGCCCAAATGCCGCCTCATTAACTTCGAAACGGAAGAAGTGAGGGAAACGATGTAACGTATGGGAACGTGTGCCATAATGATGCGTGAATAAAGTGTCATTTCAAACTGACGTAACGGTCAGGTGCGGCTTTTGCAGCGTCACCTTGCCACCTCACCAACAAAGGGGGATCACTCTTCGGCCAATGTTCTCAGATTTCTTACAAAATATAACCTACGTAGTCCGCCCATCGAGCTCGCCCGAAGGCATCCTCGACGAGCGGAGGGACTAACTGTATAGGTCGAAATTTGAACAGAAGAATCTCACTTAAGGAAGGACGACCAAGAGCTAATCGAGCCGAGGTCACGTATGAGAAGCGATACACTAACGAGTGATTCGGCTGCGGTCGAGGTTGAGCACTCCATTCAGCCTGAACGACTAGTTCAACCCTTAGACATTTCTAGAGGAGTATCTATAGGATATTCCAAGAACTTAAGTATTCCGGTTAAGAACCGTTGGGTAAAGAAAGTGTTTTTGTATAAATACCATGGGAGAGAGTAACCGGGGGGGGGGGGGGGCTGGCAAAAACTGAGATACACAAGTAGACATATCTTGAGAGAGAAGGAGAGATAATTCATCTCTGGTTCCTGGTCAAGGAGAAAGGAGAAAGGAAGCTCAAATCCTCATTATCCACTATTAGTTGCATTATGTCAAATGTATGGGGGTCAACCTTATTCAAGAACGGTGACCCTTTTTATCTATGTATTCTTCGTTATCATTTAATATCATCAAAATTATCATCCTTTTCTTATGCGACGGTATTCAATTATTGTTATAATCAAAATTTATGTTCAATTATGCGTGCTTACTCTTACCCCCTATCTCGGATCTAGGATAAATTATCTTTGGCTAGGATTTGCCTCAAATCTTCTTATTTAATTAGTTCAATAAAAAAGTCTAACACTTTTTGGTCGAACACCAATCAGAGGCTCCACTTCACTTGGTAGAAACTTAACATTCAGATTCATATACATACATACATACATACATACATACATACATACATACATATATATATATATGAGCATTAATAGGTTTATAATTTGTCAATTTTATCTCCTCGTGAATATCAAATATATATTTCTATCGTGAGATGATGATACTTGAACTGGATTTCGGACCTTAATGTCTAGAAAACATCAGAAATATGTCAAAGTCCTCAATTAGTTTGAAAATGCTAAAAAAGATGTTTTAATTTTGTAATATCCCCATAATTACCACCTGTAATAACTGTTAACAACGTAAACTACCTAAGTAGATGCACATTTCTTAAGCAGGTTGTGGTAGAATATGACTAGCTTCACTCTGAATGTTACATTAGTGCTCCTTACTAATTTTGCTAAATTTACAGAACACACTACATGAGATTATATAGTGACTGGCAAAACACCAGCTCACGTCATTTGTTGTGTGAGGGATACATAAGAAGAAAAAAGATTAAGAGTACTTAATTGAATAATATCAAATTAAAATGATTCGTATATAATACAGTCAGTTTTTAATTTTGTTTTGCTTCTCACCTGCACTTAGGGAGGTGAAATGTACTTTAATTTCTTTACCACGTCACCTCTAATCTAAAGGAGTATTAGTTACATATATTCTGAACAAGAATAGAAGGGAAAGGGAGGAGGAGACGTTCGGAAAGTTAAGAGGACGTAAATAACTTGTTGACAGTGTACCGGCGGAGCAAATGAAGAAGGAGAAGAATGACCAACTGATCGATACAGCCAATACAAAGGGCATTATATAGTCTAACTCTTGAAGGATGTTATTACACTTTAGTCCTTATAGTTACACATACGCTCTAGAAAGTTCTAGAGATATTTATGTAATTAGCCATTCCACTAAGTTGGTTAGATAGAAAGTTAGGCAGTTAGTCATTGATGTGTGTGTGTATATATATATATATATATATATATATATATATATATATATATATATATATATATATATATATATTGTACTGTTGTATTGAGACTAAGAAAAAAAGGGAAGCAGCAAAATTCCAAAATGCATTTTGTTCATTCCAAATTCTCGAATCCAAACATGGTATCAGAGCAGAGAAAGGCACCAAAGAATAGTTCACAACCAAACTGATAGCAGAATTTGTGAACAGACAGTAGGTTGAACTTAAAAGAAGGCACATATAGCACTCTATCTAGAATCATGTCTGGAAACAAAGATACTTTTCCAGCATGTGTAACTCTGATTTTGAAAGAATTTGGCAAGTTAACAATTAAAGGTTGAGTCAGGGTTATGATGTCAAACAAGATAGATTTGTCAAAAGTCATGTGCTAAGAAGCACCTGAGTCAAGGATCCAAGAATGTATAAAGGATTTATTAGGGAGTAAAGAAGGCAGCATAGGAGCTATACCAGCACAGTTAGCAGTCACATTAACCTCAGAATTTGAAGCAGCTTGTTGGCCAATTTTGACTTGTTGTAGGATTTCCATAAGCTGAGAATATTGTTCCTGATTTATTCCCATGATGCTTGATGAGTTGTGTTGTTGAATTCCCTGATTATACTGTTGAACATTGCCAAATTCTTCTTCTATAGATACTGCATTTCCTTGTATCATATTTGGGTTTTGAAAGTTTCTTGTTCTATTCCCCTGCATATTCCCTTGCATATTTGTCTTAAAACTGTTTGGATAACCATGTATTTTGAAGCACCTTTCGATTGTATGTCCAGATCTTTGACAATAAGAACAAATCATATTTCTCCTGTCACTTCCCTTTGCTGCATTGTTTCTGTTTCCTCCCCCAGTATTTAGGTTAAAATTCATCCTACTCTGTCCTGAATACTGTCCAAATTTCTGTGTTGATACATTAAATAACCTCGAATCCATAGGAGAATTCATTGTAGGTTGAATATTTTATCTTTCTTCTTGAAGAACTAAAGAATATACCTTATCAATATTTGGTGTAGGAGTCATAATCATTATATTTCCTCTACAAGCAGTGTATGTTTCATTCAGTCCCATAAGAAATTGAACTAATTTCTGTCTCTCCTCAATTGCCTTATTCTTAGGTTTTGCTTCACATATGCATTCAACACAAGTACATGCAATTTTTGCATCCAATGCATTCAACTCATCCCAGATTGCTTTTATATTATTGAAATAGGTTGCTATATCATTACATCCTTGTATAGTTTCTAATAATTTCTTTTGTAGGCCAAACAATTGAGCAACATCAGATTGTCCATACCTGTCTTCAAGTTGTTTTCAAAGATACCTTGCAGAATTGGAATGAAGAACACTTGACCTAATTCCTTTTGTCAAGGAGTTTAATAACCAAGCCATCACCATATCATTACATCGAGTCCAAAGCTCGAAATATGGGGAATCATCATCTAGGTTGAAGAATTCTTCCATTTATCAATCCTAATTTGTTTTTAGCTGATAGAGAAATCAACATTGATTTGCGCCAATCTACATACCCAGTTCCGTCAAATAACGTGAACACCAAATCTGTTCCAGGATTATCCGAAGGACTCAAGTAGAGAGGATGTGAGCTCTCAACAACAATTTGATTCTCAGCAAAAGGATTCTCTTCCGCCATTGTTATCAGTAACTCAAAGAAGAAGATCAATTGCAATGGATAAAAAAAACGAATTGTATGAAATGAAAATAAAATTGAAGATCGATCAAACTGAATCGACTGAATTGTGAACGTAATTCACAAAAAATTTGTAGAACAGTATAGAAAATTTAGAAGATCGAGCACCTGTGCTCTGATACTGATAACTACAAGATCTAAAACATTTCTTAGATGCTGAATTCAAGATTAAGGATTTAGGAAACTTATCTTTCTTCTTAGGGATGGAAGTTCTGCGGGAGCCTCATGGATTGATTCTGAGTCGACGCAAGTTCTTGCATGAACTCTTGGCTGAGTTTGATTGTCTTGATCTCTCTCATGTGGGTTCTCCTCTTAACCCTTCTTGCAAATTGTTTTCTGGTGTTGGGGAGCCCTTATCTGACCCCAACTCTATATCATTGTTTGCTGGGCAAACTCAATTTTTTGACTCACACCCGTCCTGACCTATCCTTCACAGTTCAGCATCTTAGTCAGTATATGCAGGATCCTCGTCTCCCTCATCTTTCTGCTGCTAAATATTGTCTTCGTTATCTGCTCAATGATCCTGGTCTTGGTATTTTTCTTAATGGTTCTCCTTCTCTTGATCTCCTTGCTTTTTGTGATTCCGATTGGGGAACTTGCCCTGTTCTCGTCGGTCCGTCAGTGGTTTTTTCATCAGTCTAGGAGGTAGTCCTGTTTCTTGGAAATCCAAGAAACAACCTTCTGTCTCCCTTTCCTCTGCTGAAGCCGAATACCAGTCTATGCAGCGTGTTGTTGCTGAGATTACTTGGCTAGTTCGCCTCTTGGATGACCTTTCTATTTCTCCTTCTCTGCCTGTTCCTCTTCTTTCTAACAGTCAGGCTGTGATCCATATTGCTAAAAACCCCGTTTTTCAATAGCGTACCAAGCACGTTGAACTTGATTGCCATTTTGTCCGGCAACTGTCACACCTCCTTTTTTACACACCTACCCCGAAGGATAAATGTATAAGGGAGTTTTTCCATTTAAAGTGACATTATTCGAAATGGGATTATTTATTTGATTTTTAGAGTCGCCACTTGGGATAAGATTGGCTTTGGTGTCCCAAGTCACCGGTTTTAACTTGAATCCCAAATCGAGGAAAATTGTCGACTTCCCAATTGGAGTCTGCGAACCAGAAATTCTGAGTAAGGAATTCTGTTGACCCGAGGGAAGGTGTTAGGCACCCCCGGATCCCGTGGTTCTAGCACGGTCGCTTAAATTATTATAAATGGCTAAAATCTGGTTTTGATACATATTTAAACCTATAGTGCAATTTTAAGATTATTTACCGCTTTTAGTTTATTTTGTTTTTTACGAAAGTGAACGCCGTTTAAGAGCGTGCTTTTGGATCACGTCACATGAAATGCACCCGGATCCTCAGCACCTCTTATTCAACGTTTTGGGATTTGGATTTGGGTTGCATGAAATGCGCACCCGAGTTTAGGAAGGTAAAATTATTAAACAACGCGCCTAAAGCGACTAGCGTGTTGATATCTTTGCGGGAGACCATGAAAATTTGCTAAATGGCTTACCCGATTTCTAAAATATTTTAACATAGTATTTAATGAGGGCCTCGCAATTTGTATGTTTTATGCGGCGAGGCTCATCTCATGTTTTATTTAAAGGCCAATCCTAAAGTAAACTAAGATTTCCTATTTATTTTTGTCTCTAAAAGGGCATAATTAATTTACAATTATAAATCTGGGCCTCGAATTCAAGTCCGAATTCAAACAAAAGGGAGAACCCTCTTAATTTGAGTCCGCCACTTAACTCGAGAACCTAAATCTATATTTGCAAATTGATTCCCATGTTCCTAATGTAATTTTAATGGATTTTAGCTTCCAGCGATTTTGGGCCTGAAAGATTGGCCCAGGAAAAAAGGACAATATAGCTCATATTAAAACTTGCCCAGTTTTGGGCTTAAAATTGAGTCCAACTTCAGCGGCTTAAACAAGGGACTCAGTATTGAATTTCTGGGGGGGGGGGGGGTAGGGGGGACTAAAACGAGTCCTACA